TTCCTGGCTTTTAATCCCCTTTCTCCTGCTCTTCCCACCTGCTACTTTGGGCATCCCTGAGTTGTCTCTCCTCACCTGTAACCCTGGGGCTGCCAGAAAAACCAACCAATCTGTCCTGGAGGAAGTGCAGCCAGAATGCTCTTTAGAAGCAGGGACTGCAAGACTTCGCCCCCTGTACTTCGGCATGTTTTCAGGAGGAACCAGTCCCTGCAGGACATCATGCTTAGTAGAGTAGAGGGTCAGTGAAAAAGAAGAAGACCCTCAATGAGATGGATTGACACAGTGGCTCCAACAATGGGCTCAAACAGCAGTGGTTGTGAGAACGGCTCAGGAGTGGGCACTGTTCCATATGGTAATACATCAGGTCACTATGAGTTGGAACTAACTCAATGGCATCTAAGTACAACAATGCCATTTAGCCCAGTGTCCTGGATGTGGAACGTATTTATGCAGTCTCTCTATAGTTATCAGGAGAGTTTTGTATGTACAGGCACTGTAGAAGGTAAAGGGTTGAAGTGCACATAGGTAGTCATGCTTTCTGAAAGTTCCAGGAAGTACAAGGTCATTTCCTACTCCCATAACCAACATGACCCCAAAACCTACCTGACATAGAGGGAGATGGGCACTACAGTGTTGAGAATGATGAAGTAGGACCAGAATATGAGGATGGCTGAGACCAGTGATGAGGAAGCATATTCTTCCCATGGCAGGAAAGTCTGAAAGTAGTAGCCTTTCTTCCTCTCCCAAATGCCATGTCCAATTGCTAGGACAAAACACATGCTACCTAAAAACAGGAAAATCTACAAATAAAAAATATAATGAAATTAACATTGCATCCAACCCTTCTCTCTAACAGTTTTTCTTCTCTTTGGAGCCCAAGGAGGCCCACAGTTCACAGGCTCTAGGCAGCAGTTCAGTAGTACGGCAAAGAATGCCCAGCAGAAGCCATCTTTGGGATGTGAAAGGGAGATAATAATAACAAAATATATTAGAAAGAGCGCTGACAGGGTAGTCGCTAACTGGGCTGCTAACCTAGAGGTTGGCGGTTCAAACCCACCACCAGCTCCATGGGAGACAGATGAGGCAGTCTGCTTCTGTAAAGGTTTATGGCCTTGGAAACCCTAGGGGCCACTTCTACCCTCACTAAAGGGTTGCTTTTCTATAAGTCAGAACCAACTCAATGGCACCAGGTTTTTGGAAAGTATATCAAGTATTAATTAAGTCCCTTTCCCCCTAACAACCTTCACTGGATTGTCACACAAGCAAGAAGTAAACCTCTATTGTGTTGTCACTGAGATTTTGAGGTTGTCTGTTTGATCAGTTATCTTACCTGGACTATTACAATTATGCTACATGTAGCCCTGGATCTATCCAGGATAAGTGGATACCCTCTGTGTTTATTTATTTATTTATGTTTAGCATTTAATTGAAATATAACACAAATATGTGAGTTGGTAAATTTTCCCAAAGTAACCAACCACACCAATGGAACTAGTGCCCATATGGAGAAACAGAACATTTTCAGCACCCTAGAACCCGCCCTTAATGTCCCTGTCACCCTGTGTTGTTGTTATTGTTGTTTGGTGCCAAGTTGGCTCCAACTCATAGTGACTCTGTGTACAACAGAAGGAAACACTACCCAGCCGTACACCATCATCACAGTCCTTGCTATACTTGAGCCCATAGTTGCAGCCACTGTGTCAACCCATCTTGTTGAAGGTCTCCCCCTTTTTTGCTGACCCACCACTCTACCAGGCATGATATCCTTCTCCAGGGAATGGCCCCTTCTGACAACACGGCCAAAGTAGGTAAGACAAAGTCTGACCATTCTCACTTCCTGGGAGCATTCTGGCTGCACTTCTTCCAGGGCAGATTTGTTCATTTTTCTAGCAGTCCATGGTATTTTCAGTATTCTTCGTCAGTACCACAATTCAAAAGCATCAACTCTCCTAAAGTTTTCCTTATTCATTGTCCAGCTTTGACATGCATATGAGGTGATTGAAAATACATACGATGGTTTGAGTTAGGCACACCTTAGTCTTCAAAGAGACATCCTTGGTCTTCAGCACTTTAAAGAGGTCTTTTGTGGCAGATTTGTCCAGTGCAATGTGACGTCTGACTTCTTGACTGCCGCTTCCATGGTGTTGACTGTAGATCCAGGTGATATGAAATCTTTGACAACTTCAATCTTTTCTCATTTATCACAATTCTGCTTATTGGTCCAGTTGTGAGGATTTTCGTTTTAAACCTTCCTGATTTTAAACCATGCAGTATTGCCTTGTTCTGTTCAAACAACAGCCTCTTGGTCTATGTGCAGGTTCCTCATGAGCACAATTAAGTGTTCTGGAATTGTGACTTCTAGACACCTTTTCTAATTTAAATTAAGGTTGCAATCCTGGTATTGTCTTGTAGCCACCTTGTGGCTATGACTCAGGCTGCATGGTCACGAGTCACACATGGACCACCACCTAGCCAGGTGATCAAGCCCCAGAACCAACCCTGTAACCCCTTTTTATCTTCAGTTCTGTAGGCATCCCAATCACGGTCCCCCCACCCCACCCCCGGGTCCTACCTGGGACTGTGATGAATCCATCTGCCACCACTCATGGTTTTGTGATGGTTCCTTTGTTTTCAATCATATACAATTAGACCAGAGGAGCTCAAGTGGCACAGTGCCTAAGGAATATGTCTGCTAACCAGAAGGTTGGCAGTTCAAAGCCAGCAGGCACTCTGAGGAAGGAAGACAGGGCAATCTACTTCTGTAAAAATCTACCGCCTCTGAAATCCAATGGGCATCACCATGAGTCAGAACTGACTGGATGGCAGTGGGTTTGTTAGGCAGCAAGGTAGAGCTGAGGGCAGGCCCAAAGGGAGGAGAAAAGGGAGAGAGGCGGATATCTAAGGAGGTTAATGAGCTAGCAGCCGCTGACAGCTGCAAATGCCCAGGAGGCCCGGCCAGCCCATCCTCAGCAAAACCATCACAGGAGGTTGAGCATAAACAGGAGGGCTCGCAGGGACCTGTCAATCAACCTGTCACTCAAGAAACCTAGCCCCATGCTAAAAGCAGCCCTTAACTATGAACGCCCCTGTGTGGAAGTATAAAACCAGTAAATTAGACAGCTTCAAGTCCTTTTCCAGTCCGGGGGAACGTCTCCACTCTTCTGGAGATGACTTTGCTGCGGGAAGGCCCGTTCCCAGTCTCCTCGCGGACGTCCATGCTTTTAATAAAGCGCACCTGTGCTCGTGTGACGGCTGCTCTTTGTGATGTGGTTTGTGTACCCGCCGCCAACACCGTTGCTGACCGTCACCCGCTCCTGCCGCCCACCTGTGGATCACCCACTCAGCCAGGTGCCTCCCGTGAGCAGGGTGAGGCTAGGGATGGAGGCTAGCCGTCCCAGACGCCAGGTTTGGTTTGTGGTCTAATTAGCCCATGACCACGACTCAGCGAACTCCATGTGGCCATTCATGCTAATGGTTTCCCTCATCCCGGACGACTGTCTTTGTCCTGTCCAAGGCTTAAATAAAAGTGTCTGTACTGAACCTGTTTGAGTCTGGGGTCTCTTTTCCCCTATCACAAGGGTTAACGTTTATATCGGGTGGACACACTCCTTGGAGAGGTCCATAGTGGGAGGACAAAGGGCAGTGTTTGCACAGGGGGCTGGCTGGGGTGGGTGGGCAGGAGTGCAAAGGGGAGGACACAGGGAGAAAGTGACTACAGGGAGGAGGTGGGAGGAGAGCTGTTGCATTGTGGGGCTGCAGTCAATGTCATGAGGCAAAATGTGTATGAACTGCTGTATGGAAGATGAATTTGCTCTGTCAACTTTCACCCAAATCACAATAAAAAATTTTAAAAAAACCCCACAAAACACAACTATGAACTCATGATCAGTCTTATCTAAGCATCTTCTCCCCTTGCACTTCACCATTTTTAAGCAAATCTTTGACATTGCATCTTTCCTCTGCAAACAGTTGCAAATCTGGTTCTACAAGATAAGAACCTTATTTAACAACCACAAAACCTTTATACTGTAAAACATTAATGGTTTGTATCTCATATAATTCAGTATATAAAACAGATTTGAAAGTTGGACGAGGGAGAAAGAACAAAACAGAGGATTGAGACAGAACGGAATAAAATCCTAGACCAAGCTTAACTCACACTGACTAGCTGCATGAGAATGAAATTCTGAAGCACTTGGTTTGTGGAAGCCTATGGTCTACAGTGGGAGGGAGCTCTGACTCCATTTTGAGCCTTGACATTGAGTTCTAACCTTTAAGACAGCATTGTTGCTCGGAGACTGGAGACTTGGACAAACCTAGGGAGGAGGGCACTTTGCCCTCAGGATGAGTGTGGTTGAAAGTCAATTATGCTTACACATAGAACTAGGGAACTGGCCTGTTTACTTCTCCAATTTAAATTAAGATATTGTCTTATAGCCACCTTCTGACTGTGACTCAGGCTGCATGGTCATGAGTCATATCTGGACCCCACCCAGCCAGGTGGTCAAGCCCCAGAACCAACCCTGTAACCCTTTTTATCTTCAATTATGTATGTATCCCAATAATGATTGGTTCCCTGTGCTGTAGTCCTGCCTGCAACAGTGATGACTCTGCCACCACTCATGATTTTGTGACGATTCCCTTAGATTTCAATCATCTGTCATTAGCCCTGTGGCCATGACTCAGAGGACTCCATTCAGCTTTCTGTTCTACGAACATGCTGATGGTTTCCCTGTACACTTTGACAGTTTCCCTGTACACTCTGACGGTTTCCCTGCCACGCTGATGGTTTCCCTGCACACGCTGATGGTTTCCCTGTACATTCTGACGGTTTCCCTGCACACGCTGACGGTTTCCCTGCGCACGCTGATGGTTTCCCTCATCCTGGATGATTGTCTTTGTTCTCGTCCTGTGTAAACCTTCACAAAGTGTCTCTATTGAACCTGTTTTAATCTGGGGTCTCCTTGTCCCCTGTTACACAGCTCGGCTCTGTGCTGAGGGTCTCTGTGGGTCACTTCCTTCTCGGTCTTGCCCCCGTCCTTGTCCTTCTCTTCAGTGAGTGCCATGAGAGCCGCACTAGCCTCAGGATGCAGGTCAGCGTTCTCTCCGTGCCCCTTCTCTGGCCTTCCTTCATCAGCTCCCGTGGAGAAAAACCGTGAAGCCAAAATGATTAGAATCAATAGTCTGACGCCCTCTAAAGCTGTCGGGAAGTGGCAGGGTAACCTCCGAGCCCCTGCTTACATCCCATTGCCTGGATAACTGAAGATTGCCCATGGCTTTGTGCTTGTGTAGACAGAGCAGAATTTCCGGGAGATGAATATATGTTCTCACCTGAGTTCTATATTGTTGTTGTTGTTGTTATGTGCCATCGAGTTGGACCCGACTCATAGCGACCGCTCCTTGGGTTTCCGAGGCAGTATCACTACGGAAGTAGATTGCCCCATCTTCCTTCCAAGGAGTGGCTGGTGGGCTTGAACTGCCAGCCTTCTGGTTAGCAGTCACGTGCCTTACTTAGGCACTATGCTACCAGAGTTCTGCATTAATCTTGTTCAGTTTAAACATGGCCTTACTCTACTACTTGTAGTCATAACACGTAAGAATCCTGCCCCTGCAACCACATTCCTAAGATCATACAACCAAGGCAGCGACAGTTCACAGGACAGGGCAATCACATTCCTCAGATCCTGAGACTAAGGAAGAACCACTGCAAAAGAAATCATGCAAATGTCACTTTCCTCCTTCAGTGGCCTTTCCTGGTAACAGGCCGTTCTTGAGCTGTCACCCAGCTCCCTATCTGTGGCCAGCATTAACCAGTGTTGGAGCCTGCAAGCCCCTGCCCTCCTTTGCCACCTGATGAACTAAGATGGCCAATCTAAGATGAGACCAGGCCTCGAACCAAGGGGAAACAGCAGACTGAGCGCCAGCCTGAGGAAGCTGAGGTCTGTCTTAGGGGTTCATCACAACCCTGTTCTGCTTCCTGACCTTCACCAAAGGGTCTTTTGAAATCGCATACCCCTCAGCCTTAAACACTACTATAAAAACCCCTGGCCTGTCAGCCTCGGGGAGACACGCATGGCGTTGCCTCTGGCCCCAGGCGTCTCCACCTTGCAAGGTCACTATCCTTTTACTAAATTTCTCTCTGAGCTACTTTCTAGTCATTATTTCAGAGCCCAGGCTGCAACACCTTCAGTGATGTACCCTTTCACCCTTGTATCCTCCCCCTCAAGTACTTCCTGGATTTGTGGCATCATTCCAGTTTTAAGCACTCTGCCCATCTGTCCCACAAATATACTCCTATTTAACAGACCAGGATTCCGGAAGCCTTGTCACTATGAGCTTGGGTCACTGGGCAGAGGGAAGACCTCAAACTCCCAGCTCAGCTGTGGGCTCACCAGGAAGCAGTTTTGCTAAACATACTTCCTAAGTCTGGCGGACTTTCCCCTAAGAAACATTTCCAAAAATGGAGAAAAAAAGCAGTATTTAAATCAGGAAGAATTTCCACTTCAGCTTCAAGAGAGGAGGGTCGTGACATCTGACTACACGATGTCCTGGCAAAAGCACCACACCCGCTAAACTGCTGAGAATCCAGCCAATTCAAGAACACTCCACTTGACAGACACTGCCTGAGAACCACTCTGTGCGAGGCCATCTGGGTAACAGACATGACTGTGACGTGACTCCCCTGGAGGCTCACAGTCAGGGAGCGAGGAGAGGCCTGGCTTCACTCACTCAGCAACTAAGAACCAGCCCCCCATTGTGTGTGGTGTCGGTCTACAGGTGGAGATAAGCTGAGAAAAGACAATGTCCAGACCCTCAGAGCGTTTTCAATCCTGTGGGGAGGGACAATAAACAAGAAATGACTACACACAACTGAACCAGTGACAAGTGCCCAGAGGAAAAGGAACCAGGTTCACAGAATAGAGAGGCTCTGGTGGGGACTCCGTAGACGGGCAGGGAAAGCTTCCCTGAGGAGGAGGCACTGAGTGACTCGAAGAAGCCAGTCATGCACAGACCTGGGGAGAAACAACGTCAGAGGAATAAAGGTCCTGAGGCAGGAACGAGTTTGCAAAGTGCCTTTCACTAGAACTGCAGCGCCATCACCCACTGCTCCCTCAGCTCCGGTGGTGCTGGTGGGAAATCTCGGACCAGTCTGATTCTTACTCGTCGTTGCTGCCTTAGTCTTACACCTAGGAACAGACTGCAGGTCTTCTCTACCCCGGAAGCTGTAAGACGTCATGATGTGTGGGCCACATCTCTTTCGATTCTAGGCAGTGCGCTAGGACTTCTTGGAGGACCTTGTCCCCTCCATTTGTTTCTTTCTCCCACTGCCGGTCAGCGGTCTGGGGCGCCTGACTTAGTCCTCCATGAAGGAGAAAGGGTGTCGCTCACACTTTGCATCTCTTTGGCTTTTGGAGAGTTAGTTGGCTTTTGATTTCAGACCTTTTACTGGCTTTTGATTTCAGCAATATCCCATTTTTATTTTCCAGTGACTTTTGTTGTTGCTGTTCTAGACTCCTTTTATAAGTTGCTTTTCTTTTTTTAGCAGCCTGTTCTTATTCTAGGAGCCAGTGGTGTAGTGCC